TTATTATTTTTTACAGTTTGGGATGGGATAGGATGGCATGGGATGGGATGGGATCATGGGATGGGATGGCATGCGATGGCATGGGATCGGATGGCATGCGATGGCATGGGATGGGATGGCATGGGATGCGATATGGGATGGGATGGGATGCGATATGGGATGGGATGGCATGGAATGGGATGGATACATGGATGCATGGATGGATGCATGGATAGATAGATAGTTAGATTTTTTGGGGGTATTTTCCTTTCAACCAAGCCGTCAACAACTGAGTAACGCCAATGATTTCCCCGGGCAACGCCGGGTATCCCGCCAGTATGATATATGTTATATCATGTATAATGTAATATTGAATGTTAAGCTGTTGGAGGATACAGCATGCACGGGAGATAATAATAGAGGAACTCGAAGCATTCGAAGATAGAATTTGACACAGGGGATGAGGTTATAAACCTCGTCAGTGGGGAACGGTGGCAGAGATAAAGGGGCAGTGTATGAAGGTAAAGCAGAGAACGCCGAGTTAGGGAGGGAGTGAAGGAGAAAAGGACTGGTGGACAACAGAGACGCGTGGTAAAGGAGTGGTGAAGGGTAGAATGTGGAAAGAGTGGATAGGTAGGCGAATGTATGGAAAATCGATAGCTAGGTGGATAGTGGTCGAAGAAAGATGGACAAGGATTGAGGTGATGATTAGAAGCAAAGACTGTTGGTTGATAAAATATAAATATATTTCCTCTATAGTGGAAGAGATTACCTCACAGACATTCGTGCATGATATAGAATACATACGATGCACATTCTATTACTTCTAACGGCGACACCTTTCGGTTACTTCGCTCTGGATATGTCATAGTATAATCGCGGCCGGCGACGTTATCCGGCCTGCGTTTTTTCTTGCTGGTATCGTCTGCCCCCTATCGGCGTTAAGTATTTTGAGGCAAATTGCTGTCCCAAAGCGAGGCTACGTTCGAAGGCGAGTAAGATGGCTGAACTCGATGTCAACAAAGTTTGTATGATCTTGCAGTTATGAAACAGAATGAAAATGGACAGCACCAGTTCTGATCGTAGTCCTTCGAGTGAGAATGCCTCTGGTTCGTGGACTCGGTACTGGGAACAGGAGACAAGGAGTCTGTCCGGTATAAATATTGGTAAGTTTCGACGATGTGCGACAAGCTTGCGCTAGGCACAACTGTGAGCTCAATCTTCAAAGTACAGTGCCAACACACTCAGTGACACTGATTGCCAACTTGCACATGAACTGATTATCAGCAACTAGTACTACTACCGAATCATAGTAGTAATCGCAGGACACAACAATACATAGCTCGCATAATTTTAATAAGAACTATTAATGTTACTATTAGTATTACTACTAACTAGCCTAGTTCTGCCTTTTTGGTAAACTAACATATGGTAATTAGTTATTTTTTAGTTAAAATTTGTGTCAATAGTGAGTTAGTAAAACCCAGTCAGTGTGCCAGAGATTCTGACACAAAAAAGTTCCAAATGTCCAACTGCCTCTGAGGAAGTACTGGTCCTGGTCAGTAGGCACTGGTCCAGGATTTCTGTCATAGCAAAGTGAATGACTTGGTGATATGCAATTTGGTGATGTGCATTCTAAGGTATTCTTAAAAATTGTATTTTTTACTCGTTTCGATACACTGATGCGTAGTAAATCGGAACAAGTCCGCAAGTCGGTTTCAAAGATTAGCGGTCTCTGAAGACCGTCCAGTATTCTTATAAATTATCATATTTTATTTCGCGATCGCTGCTTGGTCGGGATGTCCAGTATTATCGAATTAGCAGAGGTTTAACAGCATGACCTAGAAAATCGAACACAACAAACATGGAGAGTTTGTGTACTTCGCATGGACTTTAGG